TCCTTCCGAGGAGTGGCTGGTGGGTTTGAACCGCCAGCCTTCTGGTTAGCAGGCAAGTGTCTTAGCCACTATGCTACCAGAGCTCCTTTAGAGTAGTCATATGGTATTTTCATGTTTTGCTTTTATATGCTTAAGGAAAGAAGTACTCTTTGCATGTTCCACAAAAATTGGACTTGTGACGTAGCTATTGGAGAAGGTCTGTGTAGGTCTGGTAGCTGAGAAGTCCTAGATGACAGTCCCAAGCAGCCCAAACATCCACAGGCTCCTCCCTGCACTTGGGGACTTGCTGATTCGTCCTCAGCCTGGTTTTGCAGAGCACAGTCAGAATCGACTAGAAGGCAGTGGGTTTGGGTTGGGCTTTTGATGCCTGCTGGCAACTAAACAGAGCCTCTGGGGAGAAGAGGAGCGGGTATGTCAATGAGGAATGCTTGCTTCTTCTCCCAAACTTGCCAACTAAGTTAGATCCTCTGGGGGAAGAGGGCAGGAGGGCTGAGGGGAGGCTCAGGTGTGGTTCTCAGAGACTTGAAATAAGAAGCCAGCGATGGGGAGGGACTCCACTGCCCTTCTGTGTTAATGCGGTCTCTGGCCTCGTGGGAAAGCGTTGGGACCTTCTTTCTGTTGTGTCAAAGGACCTTTGCCTTGGACTCAGAATTGTATCTTGGGGGAGGGATCGTGGAACCCCCCGACCTCTCAAGGGCATTTTGTGGCCTGTGACTGAGCGTCTTGGCTGTTATGGCCCTCTTTTACTCAACATCAAAAGAACAGACATGTATTGATCCTATGAAGAACACATCAGCCAGGGAGCATGTCAAGATTAAAGGGAATGTGGCTCTCAATGGTGGTTTTGTTCAGTAGTCAAGGAAGTGGGAAATGACAGAGGTACATCTTGGGTAAGGCCCATTACCTGGTACCAAACCAACTTTAAACCCATTGCCATCAAGTCAATTCCGCATAACGGTGACCCTATAGGACAGGGTAGAACTGCCCCGAGGGTTTCCAACGCTACAAATCTTTACGGAAGCAGACTGCCACATGTTTCTCCTTCAGAGCAGCTTCTGAGTTTGAACTGCTGACCTTTTCGTTAGCAGCCGAATGCTACTTCTTTATTAACTGGCACAGTGGTTCTCAGATGCCAGTCCATAGAACAACTGCATCAGAATCAGGTTGGAAAATTTAAACAAGTAGGATTCCTGGCTTGTATCTCTGGAGATTTTGATTGCGTGGTCTGGAATCTGTATTTTTAAAATTTCTCCAGGACATTTTGATGAACCCTTGAGTGCTGAAAACACTAGTCTAATGTCATCTCTGACATTAGCTGTCTACTCTATAAATGAGGAACGCAGAATAGCCTCAGATCTCACCAAGTGACCTGCGGTTCTCATAACAGAAGGAGACCCACATCATCCCCTGCTGGGAAGGGCTGATTTTTCCTGTTTTCATTTAGAAAAATATTTCCTCGGTGGGAGACCCTTTCTCTCTTTCCATAGATGGATATATATTTTTATATTTATCTACCCTTTCACCACACTTATTCAGTCTGTATTCTGAACAAATAATGCAAGAAGCTAGACCATGTGGAGAAGAACACAGCATCAGGATTGGGGGAAGACTCATTAACAACCTGTGATGTTAACGTGTTGTGTTGTTGTTGTTTGCCGTCGAGTCGGCCCCGACTCATAGCGACCCCTCCTTGGGTTTCCGAGGCAGTATCACTATGGAAGTAGGATTGCCCAACCTTCCTTCCGAGGAGTGGCTGGTGGGTTTGAACCGCTAGCCTTCTGGTGAGCAGTCAAGTGCCTTAGGCATTATGCTACCAGAGCTCCTAGGTAGGGTGAAATGCTGAGTGAGATCAAGCTGACTCACATGACACAACCTTACTTCCTGAGAGTGAGAAAGACTTGAAGCATTTGCTGGTAAAGATCAAAGACTACAGCCTTCAGTATGGATTGTATATCAACATAAAGAACACAAAAATCCTCACAACTGGACCGGTAAGCAATAGCATGATAAATGGGGAAAAGATTGAAGTTGTGAGAGATTTCATTGGAAATCGGCACCTGTGGAAACAGCAGTCAGGAAGCCAGACAATGTACTGCATCAGGCAGATCTGCTGCAGATGACCTCTTTAAAGTGTTAAAAAGCAAAAGTGTCACTTTGAGGACTAAGATGTGTCACCTCATATGCATGTGAAAGCTGGGCAGTGCATAAGGAAGACTGAAGAAGAATTTATGCTTTTCAGTTACGGTGTTGGCGAAGAATACTGAATAGAGCATGGAGTGCTGGAGAACTAACCCATTTGTCCTGGAAGAAGTAGAGCTAGAATGCTCCTTACAAGTGAGGATGGCGAGACTTCCTCTCATGTACTTTGGACGTGCTATTAGGAGGGTCCAATCCAAGCAGAAAGGCTTCATGCTTGGCAGAGTAGAGCGTCAGTGAAATAGAGGAAGACACTCAATGAGATGGATGGACCCAGTGGCTGCCACAGTGGATTTACATAGCTGTGACTGTGAGGATGATGAAGGACTGGGCCATGTTTCCTTCTGTGTCCATAGTCTCTAGGAGTCAGAAGAAACTTGACAGCACCTAACAACAATAGTCTGCCTGCCTGCCTGTGTATGTATGTATGTAGGTATATCTTACTGTCATCTCTATATGAATGAATGAAATGTTGAATAATGTTCGTGATAGCAGTTGTAGGCGAATGTGGAAAATACTTCTACATGTTTCTTGGTGCCCCTCACCAAGAGCTAAGGGCATTCGCTAAAGTGAAGGGCAGTGAGGCACTTTTCAAGGAAGGAGTTAACCTAACGTCCACAGTGGTAGCTTTTGGGTGGGTCTCACTTTATTTAAGGTTGGAACTCAGCCTCTTTGGACAAGCCGATGGGTTCCTCATCTCTTAGTGTCTGTTGATACAGCTTTCCTCCTCTTCCCTCAGCCTGTGCCCACGTGGGCAGGCCCTGGCCCTCCACCGACGGAGTCCCAGCTTCCGGAACTGTGTGTGTGTGTTAGTTGCTGGTTGTGTGCCCATCCCTTTTCTTGGAGGTTGTCCTTCAAAAAATCTGAGCGCCTTGTGAAATTGACGGTCGTGTTTCTTTTCTTTTTCAAAGGAAAATTTTAATTATGTAAGTTGAATTGTATTCAGAGTCAGAGTTCTTACAGAATGTGTTAACTGTCGAATGGGTAAACATCTGGTTTTTGAAAAGTTACGGTATTTTCTAAGCATTCCTAGTGAAGAGAGAACTTACTGTAGCCAATTCCACTTGATGCCTTGTGGGGAGATATGCCTGGAGGGGGTCTCCTTTGCACCTCTGTGACATCATTGAGGGCTGCCTGAGCTGCCAGGCATGTTCTTGCCCTTAGCATGGGGATGGATGGCAGTGAGGCTGCAGGAGGCTGGGCCTGGGCCACCACACAAGGGCCTTTATTTCCCACCTACTTGAGGGAACATTCTGTTACCAAAAAACCAAAGCCAAACCCACTGCCATGGAGTTGCTTCAGACTCACAGCACCCCTAGAGGACGAGTAGGACTACACCAGAGGGTTTCCAAGGCTGTCAATCTTTATGGAAGCACACTGCCACATTGTCTTCCTGTGGAGCAGCTGGTGGGTTCAAACCATTGACCTTTTGGTTGGCAGATGGGTGCTTTAACCAATGTACCACCGACGCTTTTACATTCTGTTTAGAAAAGGAAAGGAGCTCTGGTGGCGTAGTGCTTAAGGTGTTTGACTGCTAACCAGAAGGCTGGCAGTTCAAACCCACCAGCTACTCCTTAGAAGGAAGGTTGGGCAATCTACCTTGGTAGAAATACCGCCTCAGACTCTGGTGGCATAGTGGCTGAGGCATTTGACTGCTAACCAGAGGGCCAGTTGGTAGGGTGTTAATTGAGCCCCATTTTCCGAGCAGCTTGTTGGACCAATGCTTTTTTGCGCTTGACTGATAGATACCATGCTCTCATCGTCCAGCGCACCTGAGGTTTGGAGCAGGACGGAACACCTGGGGATCAAGAAATGAGTGTGTTACTGAGAATATTCAGAGGCCTTGGAGCTCTAGAAGCTGTTCAAAGCACCATAAACTCATTTCATAAATAACCTAGGGGAATGGTCACTATAGTATTTCCATCCTGTTGTTGATCACACATCATATAACATGTTTGCTGTTGTTTTGTCCCGGCTTCACTCAAAGTGAATTAAGTAAGAGGACACATGAGAGTGTCCACCATCCTTGTTAAGTGTGGTTAGTGCTCTTATGAGCATATGGCGCTCCTGCTCACCCCCCTCCATGGCAGCACTGGTTTCCACGGCGTGTGGGTGCCGGGCATGGGGAGGATGGAAATCGGCAGCGGTGTATATAGTGCTGATGTGAGGAATTGAAGGTCAGTCCAGGTCTCACCAAAAGAGAGAGGCATGAAGGCAGGGTGAAGTGCTGAGTGAGATCAATCTGAAGAAAGTACAACCAAGCTTTTATGCAAAAGTGTCCACTCGAGGGATTTTGGTGAATGAATTTCAGATTTTCCAAGGCATAGTCAGCCATTCATCAATGTGCCCCTCTCAACCCACATGTGGCTCAGAGATGTCTGCATGTGAAGGTGGAAAGCTGGTGTGAAAGCATTCTGTGGGGGAAATAACATGAACACCGGTCCTTGAGAGAGCTGGCTGCAGGGCCTGATGAAGGTGACTTTGCATTGGAGGAGGTCCAATTGAGGAGTCCATTCCAGTTGCTGGCCTGAATCAGGGAGATGTGTTTCCGGGTCACACTTTGTGAAGTTACCCTCATCTGCTGCAGTTAATGAAACAGTGATGACTCTCCAGGTTGTCCGTACGTCGTCTGTGGACCTGCCTCTTCCCTCGGACCTGCCACTGCCCAGAGTCGCCTCTGACTCGGGGGAGTTGCCTCCTCTCTCATGCCTCTCAGAGATGTGAGAAACACATAAGTGAATAATTACATTTTATTTATGTAAAATTCAACTTTGGATTAGAAAATTGATTTTGATCCATCCCTTGTCTTCCCTAAACATGCCTCTTCCCTGGTGGAGAGTTCAGGCTGGGAGGAAGGAGCCTTAGGACTTAGCTCTTGGACCATCTTCTGGCCAGGTTTGTCATCAGGACAGAATTAGGAT